TAAAACTGTTATGCATAATTTCAAAAATTTTGCAAGTCAACAATGACAGTTGACCTGAAGTCAGCTTCCGACTGTTGCAAAGTGGAATTTTTCCGTTATTCTAATAGATCCACAAAGAAGAGTCTGAAATTGCGGAAGGAAGTGCAGCATTGTGCAGAAGCTTTTAATCGTGGTCTGTGAATATGGAGAGTTCGAAATTAGATCTAGCTAAAGGCGATCTTGAAGGTATTCTCCTAAATCAAATCGGACTACGCTATAATTTGCTAGGGCTATAATAAGACCCGAATTATAACATGGATTTGTTGATCATTAGCTACAAGGCACTCATAACGACAAGTAAGCCGAAGCATAACAACCGTCGTCATTTTTGCTTACATTGCCTATCCAATTTTGATAGCTTTTCAGTTGTTCTCCTGGTTTTCAACGTTAGAAGTGAAAATCACGGCAGTTTTGAGAATGAAAGAAAAAAATAGACAAACCGCCACTCGGAATGGATTTTCCGGCGAAGTGCTTCTTCGCTTACGATTTTCGTTGATCTCTTCCAAATTATTACCATCCTTCTCGACTTGAGTAAACGATCGATGCTGAAACGTTTGTTTCCTCTTTTAAGAATGGCAACTTCGAACCACTCTATTGTTTCCTACTTGATTGCTTCCGAAGNATGAAGTGATCAAAAACTGATTCAAAACAAACACGTCGAGTGCTCACTTCGGCACTGAATGGCTGTTCGTTTTGCTTTATTGTAGCGGTTGTTTCATTTTCATTTGCTTCAGTCGTCACACTGGCTTTGACCATATCTGTCTGAAACATGCAATAAGGTCATTCGGAAGGAGCATTTCAAAAGCGATTCAAATCAGATCACTAAAGCTTAACGAACACAGTTTTCTTTTTCAAACAAATCTGCGATGGTTTCGCCTGAAATCAACATGTGTGAAACCATTGCCTCTTAGATAAAACCTGGGCTGAGACGTGCGCTGGTCTTAACCATACTTAACCTTAAGTGACGGTTGTGCTCGAGTTCCAGACATATTTCCACCCAAAGATCAGATTTTCAACAATTCTCATGGGGCTTTGCGTGACCCACTATCAGAACTCATATCTGTTGAATTGTTTAATCGTGTTTAAAGAAGTTGAATGCTATCAAGTTTGCCACCAACCCTAACTAATAATGTGAGATGCGATCTATTATTCGAGAAGCACTACTCTAAAGCTGACGATGCCAGTGGTAGGCGAGAGACTTCAACATTCAGTTATTGGGCGAATTCGATTCAACTGATTTAACGCAACGGTTGGATATTTAGAGTACAATTTCTAATGATGCTCTTGATTCTATGAACGATTCAGCTGAGGTACGACAGAATTTCTGTGCATATGCCAGTAAGTTAACACCATCAATAAGATAGCACAAATCCGCCTAAGCCGTTCAGGATGTCATTCCGTTTCCCCAGACTCTCTAGAAGTCATTCATGCTGTGGATAGATCTATTAGAGCATACTGATCATTGCAGATCAATCGATGAGATGAGATGGCGTAACCCTACTCGCTGGAGCCAATTGGATGCTTTTCTGTTTCAGTACCAGTTCAGATATCCATAATGGAATGTTTGACAGGTTTTAACTGTCCAGCCTAACAAATTTTTTTTGAGTGCATGAAAATATTTAGTTGAATTCAATTTTCTGGTCCATCATAGTTTAGATAGAGTACCTTCGATCCATTTCCGTTCTTCGCTTTGGTTGAATTAGAAAACTGTAAGCGCTTCTTCGCTCCACAACTTTCAGCTTCCATCGACTTCTCTTCAGTGGTACACTTGAGAAAATAGTCAAGCAATTCACTGCGTTTCGGTTCTTTCTCATCGCTTGGTGATGGCTTTGAATCTGAAATTGTTGTGAATGTTATGAAGAATCAAATTGTCAATGTTATGACCAGAATTATCAAAATAATCACTGGTTTTGTTATGCGTAACGGATAGTAGCCTTGATATTATAATTTCTTCGTACAATTAGAACTTTCAATTCATTTGCTTATACAGTCGCTCTCGCCACTTTTATGCAATCTACAAATCGAAATTCTATAGTATAATTTCTTCGTACAATTAGAACTTTCAATTCATTTGCTTATACAGTCGCTCTCGCCACTTTTATGCAATCTACAAATCGAAATTCTATAGAGAAGATTAACTCGTAAAACATTTACTTCGTTGCTAAAAATCGTTACTTATTACTTTTCTCAAGTCTTATTTTTGGTAAATTCTTCTCAGATATTATTATGGTTTCACTACCGTTGTTATTTGCCATGATGAGCAAAGAAACGCCTCCCGAGAATGCCTATCCAACGATGGAAAACCCATTGGTCATGCGTCGGGCAAAAAGTCGCAAATTCAGAAAAAAAAACGTCAGCGTACGAGGAATGGAAATGGTCATTATCGACATTCATGCCATTATAATTATTCGTGTTATTATCATTGTTACTGATGATTGTTAGAAAAGTTAATGTGTTTGATTAATAGGAACTGGTGCAAAAGCAGAAAAAATGATTCTAAGAGCCACTCGTGTCCCGAAGGATGGACACCCATCAGAAAATCTGACAGGAATGGCTATACAGTCAGACGAAATTCCGTACCGATTCGTTTGGATGACCGATGCAGACTGGTTTCGGTTGACGAAACACTGCTGGTACGACTTCGGCTATCTCTTTCACTTCGGTTGGTTGTTTGACTGCCGTCATTGGTCTTGTTCACATCTGAAGTATAGCAGATGTCGAGAATGTGAAATCAGTGTTTTACATCCATTAAATTCCTCTCTCAGATAAAGCCAATCTTTTTTCCCGTCGAACTTTCATCGCGTTGCCAAAAATCATTACTTATCATGTTGCTCACATAATGCTCCGCGGATGTTATGACCGTTGTCATTAGCCTTGTTATTTGCTCTCATGAGCGCAGAAAAATCGCTTGGGAAGGCCAAGACAGCGACGCGAAAACTCTTTGATCATGCGTTGGACAAAAAATTGCTAGTTCAGTATTTATCTAAAAATTGCTAGTATTTATCTGCGCGTTTGATGAGACTCTCTTGTATGTAGTTAACCGCAAACGAAAACATTTCGAGATCAGCACTTTTCATGGGAATCAATCGCAAGCGATAACGATAAGTTTATCATCAGGGTTGTTCTGATATCAAGGCTAGCATTCTTCCATTGAAATAGTGCTGATACGAAAACAGAGCTTGTTGCCGAGCAGAATCAGTCGAACTGTAACCGTAGAGACTATCTACGGTCGCAGAAACGCTACAGGTGCGACCTCTACTGTTTCTTCCAGCGGAGATAGGTAATCTGTTCGATCAGCATGGTATTCTTGTCATCCGCTGGGCATTTCAAGCCCTAAATGAGAAGAGTCCAAAAAAGAAATGAGAAAGAACACTGATATTATTAGGAGGCACACATTTAATGCTGAATGAAGCTTCGTTGGCAGCTTGTTGTATTGTATCGAGAATTCGTTGAATCTGAAATGGAAGGTAAGAAATTTAGCACTTTCGTTGAGAAATTTACTGATTTCGCCGTTCGTCTGAACATGAAAAATTCAGGACGCACTAACACCTGAACCAATCATAGGACTTGAATCCAACAAATCGACTTGACGATCAAAAGTTTTTGTTTAACGATCAGAATTCGATCAAAATGAAATCGAGAGAATGCTGCCAAAGGAATCAGTTTATTATGATTACACAAGNGTCACTACGAGGTTTCTTCTCACGTGGGTGTCTCCCCGTCCTCCATATTCACCCTTCCCGTATGAAGAACCATTTTTATTCCAAGTCATTTGATGAGACTAAAAAGATGTCTTACTTGTGCCGAGATGTCAGATCGGCTGTCTGAATCGTCCTCATCGCTTTTTACTTCACCTCCTTCCTCTCCCCCAACATACTGCTCACATTCTACGACACTCTCGTCACCGGCCTGTTGATCACAGTTCGCTCCTATCTCCTCGATGTTCCCTTGGTGATCCAGTTCTTCGATGACAACTTCATTGTTGATTTCTTCCTCTTCTTCAGGTTCACGATAACTATGATATGAACTGTTGGCTGATGACTGCGAAATTGCTGATGCTAATGATGGAGCTGATGATAAAGCCGATTGAAACGTTGACCTGAAATTGCAAATTTATGGCGTAAAGAAGTTTGGAGCGTTGATAACTTTTGGCAGTCTGAATGACGAAAGTGCAGAACTGCTGGCTGTTATATGCCATAAAGTCTTCAAAATCCTCGCCACTTTGTAAAAAACAGTTTCCACAATGAAGGATGATGTTGGCATAAACCGGTGATCTCTTGCTCATTGTTTACGGCTTCTTGTATGTCTCTCTATAGTGCTTTGTATATCGTGTGTTCTCTGGCCACCATTGGCAATTCGTAACCATTGTTTCGT